CTACCTTATATTTGTAATTTTTTTTTTTTTTTTTTAGTTGGAGAATTATTGAACCCGTGTCAGTGCACCACAGGCGCTAAGTGTGTTTGTTACCATCCAGTTGACGATATTTCTTCGTTAGTTGAAAGTCATTGCAGCACTGCATATGAAGATTCTGTTACGAATTCTTTGTCATCGATACCATCATACGATCAATCTGTTATTCTACAAGAACCTGAAAATTGTAATCAATCTATTATTCAGCAAGAACCTAAAAATTGTAATCAATCTATTATTCCGATAGAGCCTGAACATCGTGATCTACCCGTTTTTACAAGTTCTTTACAAAGCTGCCCTTCTGCTATGGCAGGCGGAAGTTGTTGCGGCACATCAACCACTGAATCAGTATGCAGGTGTGGTACAGGATGTAGTTGCGAAGGTTGTGGAACTCATTCGCTTACGATAGCTCCGTCGCGACCTGTAAAAAATTGCTGTTCTACCAATTCTAGAATGATCAGCCGATATGAACTCGAAATAGATGACGATGAAAACTTTATAGAAAGAGATGTAACTTCAGGTAAATCAATAATATCATCTTAATCCTCCGGAGTGGAAAACATTATGCAAAATGATATAAAAGTTCCATTTTGAAGTTGTCAAGCGAAAACCAAGAATTCTAATATAGAATCCTTTACACAACGGAGTGTGGCTTCAGTATATTCAATCAAATTCTGACTAGAATGACCGTTTTACTATCTTTTATCACGTGTCATTATCATTTAAAACTCACATTCCGTTGCATAAAGAATTCCATATTTAAAATTCCTGGTTTCGCTTGGCAGGACTCAAATCGAAATGTTTTGCTCCGGACCAATAATGGTTCTCGGGTTCCATTACCATTACTTATAAAATATCTATTATGATAATTTTTTAGTTGAGGCATTATTGAACCCATGCAAATGTTTGGAAGGTTTTGATTGCATTTGCTGCCGTCCAATAGAGTATATGGATCTTGTAACAACTACTGATTCTATGCAATGCGAAATACCTAATGTTACTGGGTATTTGACCACGGTATTAGGATGCAAATGTGGGCCAGGTTGTAAGTGCAATGGATGTGAAAAGGGATGCTGAAAAACTATCCACCACATATCATGCATAATATTACTGATTAAGTTGCGTGTAATTCTGACGTATATAGTGATAGATTACTTTGGATTTTTAAGGGCCTGATATATATGCCCTTTATAACTATATTCTTTTAATTGTATATATTCCGACAAATAAAAAGTCATCGTTATTTGAGTTAGCCAATAATAAGAATATTAACCTATGAATGTGAATCCTGCGATTTCATGATTTTTGTCTGATGAAATTTTAGATGTGTCGATCATTTGACTATCACGCATACGATTGATCTTTTTTTTTTTAGCTCAATTGATTTTTCTATTGTGCAAATCTGATTTAGTACTTAGTATTTCAAAAATCACCTATAATTAAAATGTCAAGTGCCATCACTAAATTCCTAAGTATCGATTCGAGTTCCGTGGAAATTGAAGTTAGCCTAATGCTAAGCGATTTTGTATACTTGTATCACGATTAGAGATGTTAAGTAGTTAGGATAGAACTATATTGACTCAGTTCGGGACTAGTTAGTGTATCACGTCTATTGACACGTATAAATGTTACATATGAGCTAGTTTAGCCAATCAAAATCACATGCTGATTAATAGTCTAATAATTTTAATTAACTAGTTTTAATAAAATGTTTATGTGAAGTTTATAAACAGTTTCATGTAACTACTGTCAACTATCGATATAACGGAAATCCGGGCTGGCCAAAAAAATCCGTTATATAGCATGTTCGTTATACCTAT